TTGGGAGAAGTGTGTGGAGTCCCAAGGAGACTACTTTGAGGGTGATTAGGTTTCCAACGCTCCAGGTATGCCAGTTTTTATTCCCGGCCAAAGGTCGGATACTTTTCTCACAGGCCTCGTATATATAAATATATCTGTTCTTAAAGACCAGTTTTACTGACTTTAGAGAAGAATTGCATGAATAAGCATAAAATAGCTAGTTATCTATAATGTTCCAACAAGGTACCTTACTTTCTAACACACACAAAGCTATTCTTCTTCAGTGCTGCCCTCTATTTGCAAATTTATTTTTGCATGCCACAAGCATTTCACTTTCACATACTTTTCGGTTCACATGGTTTAATTGATTCACGCATGCAAATTGTCATGCGATGAACTTCCACCAATAGAAGTTTCCCACACACACACATTACTCATGTGACTCCCTCTATGCTATTCTACCTAACTGTCACTTTTTGTTTGCCAGTGCTCATGTTCAGATGTTTTATTTAGTGCTGTCTTTGAATTTTATCATTTATTTTCCAGTTTCCTACTTATTTTAAATAATTGTTACATGTACCTCATTTTGTTGTGCTATTCTTTAATTATCTACCCAGTTACATAACTTACTCATTTTTCCAGCTATTTCTTTCTCGATCAACACAGTTGTGGTAGGTTTTTCTTTGAATTCTGAAATGCAAGTTACTACATCAGAGGTTGTACTTTCTACCTGCACATGTACTCAGGCTTCAGGTGGGGAAGATTCTACTTTGGAATTATTGGCAATTATTCGTCGAGAGATTGATTGTTATTTAAGCCAATCTTCCTCTCCTGCTGTTGCCCAACTTCATCCTGAACAGCCTTTTTTCTCCACCTGAATTTGCTGTGTCTTCCCAAGTTCCTACTGTGGGTTCCAATAGGCCTAATACAACTTTTTTGGACATGATTTTCGAGGTATGCTCTGTTTTATACCTCTCCCTGATTTCCTATACTCCTCTACCTTCATTGTTACAGGATATTCTTTCCTCTCAGTATTTTGTTTTTCCACCATCTCCTGATATTGGGGTTCAGGCTGATTATTTTGTATCTTGGGCATGCCTCACCATTCACGGGCTTCATATCAGTTTGCTTTATTCCATCATTAGGCTGATTTTCCTTTCCTTGATTCTCAGCACCTAGAATCCATTTTTACCCATTTGGGAGGTTGACCCTGATTGTCCTGTTCTTTTGTCCCATGCCCAATTTTCTCGCCTTCATCTTACCTTCACATCTATCTTATGGTATATGTCCACCTTACATCTCCTCTCTGAGGTGATCCACCAAGATCTTGAAGGTTTTTGGGGGGATACATTTGCTCTAATTACATCCTTGTTGGCATGTTTGTTGACTTCAGCACTTTCTTTACACATGTGGTTCCTCTGTTGTTGTGATCATTTGGGAAGAGATGTGATTTTGTCCCATGTTCGTTTGCCATCTCCTTATCTTAGGAACTTACACCTGGCCACTTTTCTCCATTGGAATCTGTGAGACAGCAATTGATTCTTTCGTCATTGGTTGATCATTTCTATTGGACGGAGCCTCAACCATCCCCTATTTCTGTCCCTTATCCTTCCCAACTTTTACCTACTCCTTCCTCTAGGTGATCTTCTTCTCATCATTTTATTTGACACAGAGTGTCATGCCCTGTGGGCTCCGGTCCAGTGAAAGCTCATATATCCCAGTTTGTTCATCTATGGTGAGACTCTGCTAGGGATCACCCTATTGCCCACACTCATGTTGGGTGATTGGGATCCCTCATCCTACCCACTCATGAATGTCATTTTCCAGTGGTTGAGTTTTGGATTTAGAGCTGAACCAATCAACATCATGTCCTCACACCTGTCATGCAATTGGGATCCCTCATTCAACCCCATGCATGTATGTTGGTTCCTGGCAAATGAGTTTTGTATTTAGAGCTGAACCAATTGACCTTATGAACTCACAGATGTGGTGTGTTGGCATATATGTAGTTCACCCCTTTGATTGGGATCTCTCATCCTACCCCTGCATGGAAGTCAGTTAACAGTGGTTGAGTTTTGGTTTTGGAGCTGAACTGATCACCATAAGGGGGTGCTTTGGTGCCTCACGCATTTTGCTCTTGGTGTACTGCTTTGGTGTTTTGGGTCATGATGGGTGCACTTGTTGGTTGCTCCATTTCTTCCTCTAGTGCTAACCCTCTGAGTCTTTATGCTGAGGATCTTACTATGTTTGAGGTGATCCAGTCTGTTTGGTTTGAGTGGGATATCTATGTATTTTGCTCTGAACATGTGTGTCCTGTTCCCTGATCAGTGGTGGGAATTTCACTTTCTGGTCAGTTGAACTTGAGGTGAAGATGATATGATCCTCTTTCTTAACCCTGCATGGATATCGGTTCCAGGAGGTTGAGTTTTGGATTCAGTTAACTTGCTATGTACAGTCTGATGCACCCTAGCCACTCTACCCCTTAGGGAATGTCCCTTTTTTTACCCGCATTTTATTCATCAGGGGAATTGAAATTATTATATATTAGGGTTAGGATCACTATCCAACCATTTTCTCTCCCGTTGGGATGTGCTCCTCAGATTTTTCTGCCCAGATCTGTCTCACCTTTTCCATATCTGGGGAATAGTATACCTGGTATGGAAGTGGTGTGGTATCCCATTTATCATCCTCTACTTTCTCCCTTGCACTGGTCCCTCCACCTATTCAATGTGGGATTCTAACTATGTATGTGAGCAGAAGTAAGGTACCTTATTGGAAGTTATAATTTTCCAACACTGAAAATATATTTCCGATGAGTACTTACTTCCACTCACTTCCCACCCTTTCTCTCCACTGCCCACCTGTGCTTTGATATCTGCCTAAACTAAAATAGGTAGAATAGCATAGAGGGAGTTACAGGAGTAACAAGTGGGGCACATCTATTGATGAATGTTTGTCACATGACACTTGCATGTGTGAATTAGTTAAACCATTTGATCTGAGGGGTACATAAAAGTGAAAGGCTTTAGCATGCAAAAAATAATTTTGCAAATAGAGGGCAGCACTAAATGAGAATAGCTATGTATTTGTGTGGAAGTAAGTACCTGTTGGGGAAATATATTCTTTGTAGGAAAATTATAACTTTGCAGATTTCTATTCACTTTTGGCAATATGCCAGATAAAACATACTCATTACATTTTAGCACATTTCTTCAGTTACATTTAAATTCATCTTTTTAGCAAAGTTTTAGACAGAGAAGACCTGGTAACCTTACATTAAACAGTACTTTTAAAACAAATTTGGGTTTAACATTTTTGTTATTATTGTTTGTCATTTCAGGTACACGAAAGTGACCAAAACATCATCTTCAGATTTATTGCATAGAAGAACTTTAAAGTGAGAATCAAATAGGTCATGTAATTGTGCCATTAAGAGTTAATGCTCATGTTAGTATAGGAAAATGAACAAAATTTTACCTTCACTCCAAGAAATTAACTCCACGAGTGAAAGATTGGAAATATTATTGTTCTCTTTCTCTCTGTACTTGAATACTTATCCAACATAGATGGTATCAGTATGAAAATTAAATTAAAGGTAAAAAAATAAAATAAATTCATCAATATCTTTGTTTTCTTGTTCAGGAAGTACTCCACTTGGAACCTACAAGAAGTTGATAGAATTTTACAAAAAGGGGACTCTGTCATTTCGTTATGTGAAAACATTCAACATGGATGAATATGTGGGTAAGTGTGTAGTTTTAGGAAAAGTTAAGAATGTATATTTGTGTGATGTATTGTAAATATATAATTGTATATAGTTAAAGTTCTTTGAATTAATAGTGTTAGCTTTGAATAGAGAGTGATTTTTTTAATTGAAATAAGGATTTACAAATAGACTTGTATATGCATTATTGTATTTTCCAATCATTCTTAACATTTTTATATAATTATTAATGCTTATTCAAAAAATAAATATCTCATTTTACTTTTAATTTTTTTTCTATTATAATTAATATCAGAATATGATGAATATTTTTTTCCAGTTAGTAGTTGTAGCAAATATATAGGATAAAAATGGGTATGTGTGTGTTGTCAAATAGTTTTAATATTTGTATCATATATTTACTCTCAGAGAGTAGTAGGTATTAACCTAATGTTAATGTTATATATAAGTACATACTTAGTATAAAAGTGTGTTCTGCAAACTGTACTAAATGCTGAATATTATGTGTTTCAGGACTCCCAAGGGACCACCCTGAGAGTTATCATTCTTTCATGTGGAATAGCTTGTTTAAACATGTGGATATCCTGCCAGAAAATGCCCACATACTGGATGGGAATGCACCAGATTTACAGAAAGAATGTGAAGAATTTGAAAGAAAGATATCAGAGGCAGGAGGAATAGAACTTTTTATTGGAGGTAGGCATGGTAAAGTTAAACATGGCTAAATCTAATGTTTATGTAAGAAACTAGTTTATACGAAATTGTTAGGTTCGAATACTTAATACTTATGTATACACGTAGTGATGTAATAGTATTTTAATTACAGATATAATAAATCATTCACAGGTTTTAACATTTTACCTTATGGTGGGTGCATTTTTTTGTTTTTACTCTGTTCTGCTAGAAGAAGAACAATTCTTTTAGTAGAGAGATAACAGAAAATGTGCAGTAAAGATCAAAATGGAAGATTGTAGTAACTTGACTCAAAAAGGCAGTGAGGTTGCTATAAAAGATAACTGTTGTAACTTTGAATTACTTCTTTCATTGTGGATGCAAATTTCTGCCCATTATGCAGTATCACTGCATCTGTCTTCAGCTGGTCACAGCAATACAAAAGAGTTTCCGAGTTTACACTATCTAATATTTTGCACGATTCAAGAAGATGGTATCTGAATTGTGGGTTATGCAGAGCAAATAATACCAAGTTATGTTCTAGCAGATTTGTAAATTATTTTTCAAGACTCCCGCAGTTTTTCTTCAGTTATCAATAAAGGTGGAAGGCAGTCGCTATTTCAGGGCAATATCTTATTGGTCATTCTGTGGATGTTAGCTAATCAAAAAAGCCATCATTCTATTGTTGACCATTTCAATATTTTTAAGGGTACTGTTTGTATTTGTCTAAAATGAGTTTGTGATGCTACATTTAATCACTTATGTAGCAAATTTATTCTCTAGCCTGAAAGAAGGAAAGTTACTGAAAAATGTAGAAAATATAATGATTTTCCATTTGTATTTGTTGTTATTGATGGTACTCGCATATCGCCCCTTCTAAGGATCTGGTTGTGCATTTACATTGTAAAGATTTTCATTCAGTTGTGCTTCAAGCTGTATGTGATTCACATTTGTTCTCTGTTGATTCTTATGCTGGTTAAGAAAGTCTAAACTTTACACTAAAGCTGGATAGATGTGTTATCTAATGTTATTATATTATAATTATTATTGATGATTCAGTACATCATTACAAAGAGTGGTTACTGGCATCTTTTATGAACAATGGAGGACTAATAGAATCAGAAATATTACATTATTTACTGATCTATTCAGGAACTGTTCAAGAGCATTTATTTTACTAAAAGAGAGGCTTAAAAGATTAAAAAACCTTGAATTGAAAATATGGACACCTAAGTTAAAGCATGATCACTATATAAGTATTCCATAACATATGTTTAATGTTTGATGATGATGTGAAAGATGTGTTATGAGAAGAATGGGATGACTCAGGATTTTATGACAACAATTGTTAATAATACTCTTCTTCAAACCTTTGGTCAAGTTAGGGAAATGGGAAACAGAATATTCGGGGAACTATGAGAAAGAAGGAATTTGTAATACAAATGTCTGCATTTTCTTATTTATGTTCATTGTATTACAAGAGCTATTGTATGTTTATCAAATCTTTTTGTGTACTACTTGTAGATGGGCAATTCCATAGTTATTATACATGTGAAAAATTTTGAAAAATCAAATTCCAGCTGATTTCAGAAATTCTTTTGAACAAAAATTTTGTATTGTAAAACTCACATTCCAAATCTTTTTAGTCACATCATTGTTTATATCATAAATATTTAACCTTCTCTAGGTACAGGGTTTTAGGATGGTTAATCAATATACATAAAAACAAATCAAAAGTGTATAAAAGAAATACATTAGATTATCTATTGGAATACTATATAAAATCCAGAGTTTCCTTGAAGGTTTCAATACAGAAGTTTCAGGCATTCTGGGTAGCTGATACACATAGCAAATATAACCAGCAACATGAATAAATAAAATATCACTTGAGTTAAATATATTACCATTTGGGCATTATTTTTGTGATCTTAACTTCTTAGTGTATTACAATTGCACAAGTATATTAACAGGTACTTTCAATAAAAAACTAAAGAAAAAAGTACTGGCATGATTCTTTTTTTGTGTGTGTGTTTTAACAAGATTGAAGTGATAGGTTAATTTTCATGTGCAGCCTTTATTGCACAGCTCTCAAAACAAACCACAAAGGTATGTATGTTTCTGGGGTATTAAATATTTCTGTGGACACTGGGGTGAATATTGCACCTACAGAAAACATAATGAAATGAAAAAGTAAAAGTAGCAAGTAAAATATATTTGGATATGATTTTAAAGACACTAACTAGTTCTTCGTTAATATTCATGTTGTCCTTGTGCATTTCACGTGCCATTTCCAACTTCTTTTCTTCCCAATTTTTTTCAATGAATGAAAAAAGGAATCACACATTTTTGGCTCTTTTACACCTGAAGTGCATTGGGTTATTATTATTTATGCCCTTGTAGCATGTCACTAGTTTTTAAACAATTTGTGAGTTTAATTTTCTATTTCATTAATGTATTGCTTGTTGTTTGTTTTTTTGGCCATTTTGTTTTTAGTTTTCATTAACTAAAAAAGACATTGGTAGAGTTACATTGTTTCATGTTAATTTTAAACTGTTGTTGGAATGATATAATTAATTAGGGCACCTTATTTTTGATTCAAGCATTGCATATTAATTAGTTATTTTTTGGTGAAATCAATCCTCAAGTATATCATATTCAAGATTTTGGTGGATGCCCAGTGGCATGGTAGTTTTTGTTGTTTTTATTATACTAAGATAAACCTTCTTTACTAGAGAAAGTAAAAATGTGAAGCCACATTCTAAGCTTGCTCCATTGAGATGTGTTCTTAAAGGCCTATCAAAGAGCACTAATACCAGTTGTAAAGTTTTGGTATGAAAATAATTTGTGTGAGCAGTATTATAAAGTTGGTTGTAGAATTGTTTGATGTATGCATTAATATGGACTATAGTTACTGTAAGCTACAACTTCATTGACACCTCAGTATGAAACACCACTCAGTTGCTGTTTTAAATATCAGAGTGGTCCACTTATTACTGGTATAGAAGTGAGGATAAGGAAAAATCATTGTATCCAGCATTGACATTGACTAAAAAGACACCATTCACATGGAACTGTAAGAAACATCAGAAAAAAAAATGCAAACTGATAATAAAATCTCTCAATACATTGAAGTCGCACATTACTATATATTAAGAAGCCATCACCTTAGAAAAGGTTATCTAAATACTTAGCTTTGGAAGTACGGGAGATCTGTCTTGTTTGTGGTGATAAATGCTTGCCAAAAGACTTAAAAACCGAAACAACAGGTAAAACAGCATATACTAGAAGTCTGCGATGAAAAAGGAAATGACCAAGCATCACTATTTCAAATGAGGTGAAGAAATTTAGACCAATCACATGCCCACTTTCATACAGTTGGGAGAATATTAACAGTCAGTTCTTCTTAATTTTAGTTTTTCTTTCTTGCAAAATGAAAAATCTCCCTGATATGGCACTCCAGAGAGCACATTGCCAGGGAAGGACAAACAACAGTCACTTACAGAGTTTTCTCTCTGTTCCATAACACATGATACTACTGCTGTATAAAAATTATGCTTATAACAAAGTGCTTAACACTTCATACTATGTAATTTGCTTGGTTATAGATAAAGACTCCACACATTAAAATTTGTATTTATCCGAGCAACACTACTAAGAGAGTAAAGTTTGATGTTTTTATTGTGATACCTTGATACTGTTTATGACCAAATTTAAAACAAATTTTTAGCATTAAAAGTGCTCAACCATGGCAACTAGGCACACATCAGAATCTTGATCAGAACATGATGGAGAAGCCATTAGAAGAGAGAAAACTTTATTTCTATGCACTTGTCTTGGTTAATAAACCTACTACATAAGGTTAACCAAAAATTTAATAATGAAACACAGATATGAATAATGTCACATTGGGATAGATCATGATGAAGTGTATCATTTTGTTTATTAATTATGCTGTTTAGTTATTAACTAGGTTAGTAGTTTATGTGACATTACATCACAATAAGATTGCTGGTAATTATTTACAAATCTGTTTTTTTTTATTGGCTCTGTATTAATGTTTTCAGTAAAAAGAACATAAATAGTGTTTCAACAGCACACATTGTGCACTACGCTCCACTGTGAACTAGGCCTTTTATTGAATGCAGTTTGTTAGGAAAGCTGGGAATGCAATACAAAACATTGGCCATAACTATTATTGATATTAGTAATTTATAATACATCAGTTACTTTGGCATGTTTATGCTGGTGAAGCATGATCTATTAATCAGTAGTTTTAGGCTTGCATAGAAAAGACTTGTAAAAAGTTACCATCAGTCTTATTGTGATGTAATGTCACCCAAAATATCATTAATAGATCATGTTTCACCAGCATAAAGGTGTTATATAATATAATAATCAGTTATTCACCTAACCACAATGTGGTTATAGCCTGAAATATTTGCTTTCACTACGGTCTTCTCACATAAACATATCTCGATCTTCTATCTGCCCTCTAAGATTTGCTACAAATTTTTGCACTCAGTACACCAGTCTGTATACCCATTAATTTTGTGCCATTTCTGAACATACAGATATGTGACTACTCTACACCAATAGTATTGTGCCACATATATTGGTGCAGCTAGCTCTCTCTGCTATTCCTGCTCAATCCTTACTTTCTTAATTGGCACAGTGTTGTTTAAACATGTGTTTTTTCGCATGTGGTTACCATTTATGAACGTGCTTCTTTGCCATTTTAGTTTTTTTTCAACAGTTTTATTTTACTGTTTTTGCATTCACTTGTTTCAACAATTTGTTTTTGCCTTTATTTTTTGTTACCGAATTATAAAAGATCTTAGAATGAATTTGTGATCAAGGTATTGAGTATGGAAATTTCCATTGCAGTCGAAAATGATACTGGTACGACTTCCCAGGAATCAGGTTTGACTTTATCTGCAGAGGAGGTACAGGCCTTAATTTGCCTTGTCATATGTTTGGTTGGCGATTTCTTCCTCTTTTCAATGTGAAAATGTTTCTGAGGACTCTCTTTTTCCAGCACCTTCTTATTTTGGTCTGTCATACTCTACACCTCTTCAAATGTTTTCACTTTCCATCAGTTTCCATGCTACCGTGTCATTCACTTTGGTGGAGAATTCTTCTTCTCATCCTTTTTTTCCTGTTGTTTCAGTTTTCTCCCATGGGATCTATGTTAAGTTTTTTGACATGTAAACTTCTCACCTAATTGATATACCCATGGTAGGCATGGCTTAGATGCCCTTTTTGTGGCTGTCCTTATTTGCACATGAAAGAATTAAATATTTCATGTCCTCACTGCTCGGACTTTGGTTAGATATTTATGTGCCCTTTGTCATCTAAGTTACTTTCGATGAATTGGAAGTTAGATATTAATCATTACTTTGAGTTTTTGGTAAATTTACTCATTTTGCACCTTTATTAATATTATGTACTTTGTAGACCCAGCAAACTTCGTGGGTTTGTTAATTCATTATTAATAAGTACTTTAACTAGGTATGTTTAGGTAGTTTGTACATTACATATCATTACTACTTGTAGTATCTAATCCATTGTTTTACCTGAATATTTTTTTGTCATTGTTAACTATGTGCCTTATCATCCTAATCTTCATCAGTGTAGGACTTTTTTCACTTTATTACATCAATGATGAGTTCATTTATTTCACATTCATCGGGTTGAGCTTTGCTTTAGCTCATTTTCCTATATTTGGGAGACTAGAAACCTCATATTTTTCCTCGTAATCAACAATTCTGGGATTTTACCCACAATGCTTACATTATTGATAGTTATTTATTGCTCTAAGTTGAGTGTTCCAGTTCAGGGACCTACCGTTTGGACTAACCTCGGCTCTTTAAGTGTTTTGTCAGGGGGTACAAACTGTTGCCTGACATCTTCACTCTCTGAGTCTTTGCACTCTTCTCTCTATGGATGACTGGCTCCTGCTTGCTTCTTCCCATTCACAGTCCGGAGACCACACTCATCTGCTCCTACAAGAAGCAGCATGGATGGAATTACTGATGACAATGGGGAAGTCCATTTCTACCCCCACTCAATACCCCATTCATTTGGGTTTTTTTCTTCATTCCAACCTCAGTCGAGCCCAGCCCTCTCCTCTTCATCTTCAGATTTGGAGCAGACAGTTCACAAGTCCCTCATCTCACATTTTTTACAGCTCAAGATGTTTTATCTCCATGGAGATGTGGGCTTCCTTGGAATCTCTCTCATGGGTTGAGCTCATATGCGTTCTCTTCAGTGAACATTCCTAGATCAGTTAAACTTTTCTTTGGATCCCTTGGATCTCCCTCTTACCCATCCTTCACCAATTAGAGCCGACCTGGCTTGGTGGTTAGACAGAGACCGGACCATGATGGGGATGCTGCCTACTCCATCCTCTCTGAACTTACAACTGTTCACAGACTCATCTTTAGAGGTTGGGGTTCTTACCTACACTCCCAGGAGATTTCTGATCTCTTATCGATCAAGAAGTCTTCTCTCCATATCACCGTTTTTTTTCTCCCACTTCCTTCCTCTTCTGCAGGGGAGGGTGGTTATGGTACATTCTAACATCTCCACAGTGGTCACTTAAATCACAGAACAAAGGGGGGGGGGGTATCAATTCCAGGTCTCTGTGCTTTCAGATCCTAGATCTTCTTTCTGAGTCTAAAGTCACCACATTGTGGTCTTAGCTTGTTGTTTTACAAGTTTTAAATGCTTT